TGTTTATCTGCAGTTAGTTACACGAATTCATATATGGGATGAAATCGAATAGGGATGAAATCGTTTAGGGATGAACGGGTTTAAGAGTTTTTAAGAGTTTTAAGAGTTTTTAATTAAGAGTTTTTAAGAGTTTTAGTCAAATGCTTTATAAGATAGTATAGATATAGACTAATGGCCTCTTTACTTAAATTAAACTAATGGTCCATGCACTGATGCACGTTACTTTTCCTTTTGTAACGTAGGTTTTCAAGTTAATGTATGTGTATAGATTAATCATTCGAACGATTACGAATGGTATGGAGTGATTGTAATTGAGCATCTATGATCATAAGGGTTTTGGCAGCACCAAAATTTGAATCCATGGTAGATAAGATTTTCAACTACATCTCTCTGACGCTTAACCAGTGCGTCACAACCCAAGTGGTTAATGAGTTACTTTGGATTAAACGTAAAATAAAACAAGCCTTATTTAACTTAATGAGTAAAATTTTGTTATATTAATGTTTGATTTAACTCGTTCGAAAACTCAATTAAACCGTCACAGATTCAGGATTTTTGTTGAGCGGGTACACCTTTAAATTGGATCGAATGCCTACGAAACCACTCGATATGTTTTTTGCCGAAATTGGAACACATTAATATTAATAAGATAATAATAATATAATTATTTAGGGCGAAGACTATTAGATTAGACGAATATCAAATTTAAGAAAAACAAATAAATAATATAAGCAATTGTAGGTTTGATCCCTGTAGTTTCTCTAGGGATCAAATCCATAAATAACTTTATTTTAGATTTACACTTTAGTGCATCTTTAACCCTCTAATTTTTCTAATATTTCGGAGCACCCCGTAACATTAACGGGTGCACCTTACGTACCCAAAAAAAATTCTACTTACAAAATTAGGTTGAGCGGGTGCACGGAACCCCACTCCCACCTAGGTAGGTCTACTCTTGCAATTAAACTTTTCCAGTCGAACCAAGTCATATGAGCATACGCTTTTCAAATCAAACGCGTTCATAACTCATATATCATTTAATACAATCAAAAATTTGAGTTTGGACCAATAAACAGGTTAATCAGTCTTTAGTTTGAACATGTAAAACAAACCCTAAAGGTTTGAATTTCATGTCGTAATGTTCAACCAAAATTGTTAAACGAACATTGAGCTCGTACATTGAAAAAATATTGGAGCTCAAACCTGATATTATTTTCTCAGACCGAGCCAAAACAACCTGTTACACAACTCGTAAACCACTATATGGCTGCTCGATAAGAAACTCTTACCTGGATAAGAGGAAATGTTGTTTACCAAGCTTTTGACACAATTCGTGCCGAATAAGAGGGGTTTAGCAACGGAAAAGTCATTAGTAGTATATGGCATTAGTAAGGAACTAAACCCGGATGAATATTTTATTTATTTTTATCTCCGGTACTTGATTCATAACATTTTGATCCATAACAATGGACGCTTATTGAAGTCGATGGATCTTAGGAGTTGTTTATCAAACTCTTACAAGGTAAGCATTTACTTTGTCTTTGTCGGGTGAACATAGTAAGTCCTAAAAAGCTTACCCGGTAAGAGGCACACCAAGGACATAGAATCTTTCTCTTACCCAATAAGTGAATTAGAAAGATTCATTATCGGATAAAAGATGTTTACCAGCAATCTATTTAATGGCCAAAAATAGTATCTTATAAGATATATTTAAAATATTAACTTAACAGATTTTTCTATTTTTATTAGCCTCAGGAATGAAAAGTGAAATGAAATAAACAAAATTTAAAAACGAAAAAGAAAAGAAAATTAATTATAATTATAAATAAGAAATGATAGGAATGAGAATTGTAGGCATATGTCATTCTAGTAAATAGCCGTCCATCCTGCTTTTAATAAATCTCCAATTAACATTATAAATTCCTAAAAATCTAAATTATTTTTTTATTTTAAGTTATTATATATCATCTTCAATCCTAAATTAAGAACACAAAAATAACGTCTCTTCATTTCCTATCTGACATTAAAATACTAAAAGAAAAAATATTGGCATCTATAATTGAAAATCAATAAAACAAGCTTCTATAAATACATGTTAATATAATACATATATATATATATATATATATATAGGGTTGGGTTCACATGAGACCAAAGGTTTTTTCTGAGACCCGTAAGACCAATTTATGTTCATTGATCAACTTTATAAGCTAATGATCTAATGGTCTAAAGTTGTACGGTGACAATTTTGTGATTATGAATGTTCAAATTGTAGATCTAATCCAAGGGTTGAGAATTTGTTTTACAAGTCCCACGAAAAACCCTTGGTCTCACGTGAACCCAACCCTATATATATATATATATATATATACACACACACATACTAGAAGGGTACTCGTGCAATGCAGCGAGATACATCTTTATTTTATTGTTTCGTTTTATTTTGTCTCTTTTGATATAACACGGTTTATGTGGTTTTGAGAAAGATAATGTTTTTAATTTTGAATAAAAATAAATTTGAAGATATCATAAAAATTTGAAAAAATATATTGATATTAATATCAAATTAACTATTTAAAAGTTATCGTTTTTTATACAGTTTCTTTAATTCTATTTTTATTGTAATTTAATTTAAGTTTAATAGCAAAGTAATTTATTTTTGGATTAACAATTTAATTTTTATAAAGATAATGATTCTGTTTGAACTCAATGATAATCCTAATTATATTTTAGATTTTTTATATTTAAAATTAGATGTTTATCATGTATTTGATTATGTTTATTTGCAGTTAGTTATACGAATTCAAAAATAGAGGTTTAATAAGTTGTACTCACGACACAATTTACTTGTAATATTACATTTTAAATACTATGTATTAATTAACAGTACTTCATGCATAAAAATAATTTTTAAGAGTTTTCGTCAAATACTTTATAATATAATACAATTATTGCTTAAGTTTTAATATATTAAGAAGTTTATTATTATAATATTAAAGATGATTTTTAACGTGTTTGGAGTTGATTTTTTTAGTGTTCAAATGATCCACCATTTTTAATGTTTTTAATATTAATTTTTAGTAGTAGGATCGAATATGTGCTCATATTATTTTATATAGGGAAAAGTTTAAAAATATCCAATAAATTTTAGTGCTTGAAATGATTAAGTCATTGGATAATTTTTTGAAACAAATAAGTCATTGGATATTGCAAAACATGTTAAATAACTTCTTGAACTTTTTAAAACCTGTTAGATACAATCTTATGACCTATAAAACTAGTTAATATGGTAAAATAATGAAAAAAAAAACTAAAAAAGCCAATGAACTTTCATCTTTTGAACAATTAAGTCCATAATCATTTTTTGAACACAAAAAAAATACTTACATCCAAAAAATGAAATAAATATACCCAAAAAATACTTACATTTTAAAAAATATTATTGATGAAATTTATTTTAATTAAAAATAAAATATATTTTGTCCGTGATTTTTCAAAATTAAAAAAGATTGAAAAGAATTACTGATTAAATTTATTTTAATTAAAAATAAAACATATTCCGTATATGATTTCTCAAAGTGAAAAAATAAAAAAAGATTTAAAAATGACTACTAATAAAATTTATTTTACTTAAAAATAAAATATATTCCGTTGTGATTTTTCAAATTAAAAAAATAGAAAATAATTTGATTAAATCACTGAAAAATTAACGATAAAATATAACTAAATACATAATTAAATAAAATTTGTCGTTAGTGTTCATTGGTATATACGGATGGATTACTTAAATCTAATTGATTGCTAACTTGACCACCGTCAGACGCTTTAACATAAAAACATGTTAATAAGTGTGAAAGATCGTTCTTGAATCTTGTCGGTGATATCGTTTTACCGAAGGATTAGCGAGGAATTTTAATTAATTATGTATTTAGTTAAATTTTATTATTAATCCTTCAGTAATTTAATCAAATTATTTTTTATCTTTTTAATTTGACAAAGCATCAACGGAATATATTTTATTTTTAATTAAAATAAATTTCATCAGTAATCTATTTTAAATCTTTTTTTAATTTAAAAAATCACATATAAAATATGTTTTTTAATTAAAATAAATTTAATCAGTAATCTTTTTTGTATTTTTTTAATTTGAAAAATCACTAACAGAGTATATTTTATTTTTTATTAAAATAAATTTCATCAATAATTTTTTTAAATATTAGTACTTTTATTTTATAGATGTAAGTATTTTTTTGGTTCGAGAAATGTTTAGAGACTTATTCGTTTAAAATATAAAAGTCTATTGATTTTTTCTCCAGACATTTTTCTATTATTTTACAACATTAACCAGTTGTATAGGTCAAAAGAATGTATTTAACAGGTTTTAGAAAATTCAATAAGTTATTTAATTGGTTTTAAAATGTCTAAAGTGTTATTTGTTCCAAAAAATTATCAAAATATTTAATCATTTCAAACACTAAAGTTAATTATGTATTTTTTAACTCTTTCCTTTTATATATTTTGTTTTTTATATACGTTGTTGTGACAAACACAACAATTATAAACGTTTTATATACTTGATTTGGCGCTCTATTTATTTTCCGTTGAATCATTGAACGAAATCATCAACAGAAATAAACAATCCCTCCGAGCTCTCATACTCCAGCAAACCTCCATTAATATCGGCAGTCGATATATCTCCGGTCATCTCTTTTCCCTTCTCCAATATAAACCCCAAAATCTCAATAATGGAAAGAGGACGCAGATACAAAGCCTACGCCGATCTCAGAGAACTAAGACTCAGGTTGAAATTAACGAACAACCCACCGGAAAACCAAGATTCCGTCACTCCATTGAAGAACCACATCAAATTTCAGGAGCAGAGGAGTTTTCAGGCCACCACAACTAATCGGAGCAAACGATCTTGTGTTTTGACTCCACCCATTCCCAATTTGTCGTCTGCTTCGAAAAATGACAACAGGAAGACGGTGCTGCCGTCGGTGGCGGAGAAGTATGCTGCTCCGGCAGGGAAGAGTTCTTCGAGAATATATGAAAGTAATTCAAGATTGGGCGGAGGAAAGTCATCGGTGCCGGCGGAGAAGAAGAGAAATGGGTTGTTCACGGCGATTAGATCTTCGAGAAGAGCTATGCAAACATGGATGAAATAAGGAAGTTGTCTTCGGCAACCATGAATGCCGGTAATATTCAAATTTTGGGTTCAAAACATTGTATTTTAAACTCTAGATACATCTTGATTTTAATGTTTTCTTTTATTATTTATCTATGTTGATATAATACAGTTTTTAGCGGTGTTGAGAAAGCAATAATATTTTTACTTTTTAATAAATATAAATTTAAATATATCATAAAAATTTGGAAAAAAAAAACATATCGATGTTAATATCGAATTTTTTTTAAAGTTTTGTTTTTGTGTAATTTATTTAATTCAATATTTTAGTTATAATTTAATAACGAATTTATTTATTTATTATTTAATAATATAATTATATAAAGATAATAATTAAATATTTTGTTATAACTAATGATTATATTAATTATATTTTATATTCAAAATTAGAAGTTTATCTCGTATTTGATTATGTTTATCTATAGTTAGTTACACAAATTCAGAAATGAAGCTTTAATAAGTTGTACTTACGCATAATTTACTTATAATTTTGAATTTTAAGTAATATGCATTAATAAATAGTTCTTTATGCATAAAAAATAATTTTTAAGAGTTTTTGTCAAATGTTACGTAATATGGTATATATATTGATTTTGACGTTTTGATAAACATGTTGTACAATATTTTTCAATTTTCAAATATATATTATACAGGTTTATGTTATATTTATGAGCTTTTTATTTTCAGATATGCTTAGTTTATCATATTTCTTTCTCTTTTATAAATAAGAATGAATTGTTATGGATTTGGTTATTAAGATATTTAATTTGCCTTCTTCCTTTAAACAAATCAAATTATATTTATTTAGCGAATAAAATAAGATATGGTTTTATGATTTGATTTATTTAAATTTAAAAAAGACGATTTAATTTATTGTTATTTTTCTATCATTGCAATCAACAAGTTTATTATCGATATTTTAATACCAAAATCAATGAAAACCACTAAGAAATAAACTCCAATTTTATCATCCTAAAATTAGGGTTTTCAGCTTTCATATTGTTCTTCATTCAAAAAAAATCAATATCAACTAATTAGATTTTAACCTAACGAAAGAGTCATACATATTATTATCTTTATAACTTAAAATGAAACAAATCATTATACAAACTTCAATTAGGTTTTCATATCCAAATAGGCAAAAATACAAAAGAATAAAATTAAAGTGTATTTTAATATAATTTTTTTTTTTATTTAAACAAATAAATCATAAAATAATATCTTATTTTATTTATTTGATATATATATATATATATATATATTGCAAAATATATATAGTAGAAAACACAAAAAACAAATACTTTTTCCCTACTCCAAAATTAACCACTTTTTCTCAAACTTGGCAGCATTTGATTACAACATTACACAAGTTTGCACCAAAACAAATTGCAGTACAAATTATAAAAACAGATCTTCCTTCTTTTAACATCCATCAATTCAATTTGTACAAAAACTAAATCTAACCGCAATCTCCATCGAATCATCGAATCGAAACAATCATTTCACACCTGAACAACAACAACAAAGATCGACAACAATTTCATCGACCAACATTTCGAGTACATCCCCTTCGATCCTAGCACCAATCTCATAACCTTCGATCTCAAAATCCGTCCATTTTCCTAACCAATGGCTCATATCTACCTCCACCAGCTCATCCGACCTCCGACCCACAAAACCCATCCACCTTCTGACCTCCTCCACAACTTCATGAACCAGAATCTCCGGACCCATGAATGGAGGAACCGTCGTCCACACTCTAAATCCGCATTTCGAGTATTTCCCATATTTCAAGTCCAAATATTCAATTAAACAGTCAAAAGCAACGAGTTTCATTTGATATCCCGCCTTTGGGTTCTCGGATCCAAGAAAGTCGCCAAATTTCATCCACATCACCTCTGCAACGGTTTCAAGTTCAAGAAGAAGGCGGCACACCAAGAAAGAATTGGTTTCATTCGGTTTTTGAGCCATTTGGTTGCCGAGAACTAGCTCAGCGTTGAAGATGGTCTCCGTTATATGGGCACGTTTGTTCCCTTTTACTCCGGCATCAAGAATATTGGACAATACTTCCACTATATAGGTGAGAAGATCAGCTACTAAATCGTAGAGGTCGTCCTCTTTAACGCCAGCATAGAGAAAAGGGTCGGTTTCCAAATCTAGAAATCGTGATTCATCATATGAATAACCCAAAGAGTCCGCGTGCTGTGTGCGTACTTGAACCAGAAAAACAGAGAACGGATTAAAAGACATACGTTTAATTTTCAGAAACAACATCCATGATCGAAAAATAATCACACTTTGATGCTTCAAAACAGCATGTCCTTTTATGTTGTCAGCTAAACATGATTAGTTTATCAGTTAACTTATCAGCCAACAGCTAAAAAGAGAGTCATATACCTGAGCTATCTTCCAAACTGCTGGAGCAGCAACTGTCATTTGAAAAAGAGGCTTCAAGAACAGATCCTGGGCTAAGATGATCAATACTTTTATACCCAATTAATCCTCCTGTTTTTTCTGATTTTGCCTAATCATACAATAAACATAAAAAAGGGAAAAGTGATATCAAGATGTTTACCAACAGAAATAACAAATGAAGGTTATTCACAAAAATAGCCATTTTGGGAGACTCCAATTCATACTTTTTCGATAGCCTGAGGTTCAAACAAGAACATCTTCATGGTACGAAAATGCGAGAACAACCTTACGCATGTTATAATACATGTGAAGGGACCTAGTGGTTGGCCCGGATCCAGGTCTTTGATTTAGTATCACATGTGATGTGATGGACTATATTAAAGAGATGTTTCAGCTTTTTCATAAAACAAAGATATTCTGATTTCAACCCTTCTCTTTTTTTCATTTTATCACAAAATAACCACATTTTCCCCAAAATTACATTATTAAACCAAAATAACCATTTTTTATGCATGAAATACTGTATATTGATGCATATTACTTTAAATTACAAGTAAATTATACATAACTACAACTTATTAAAGCTTCATGTTTGAATTTGTGTAACTAACTGTGAATAAACATAATCAAAGAGGATAAACTTCTCATTTTAAAATATCAAAAATCTAAAATATAATTAAGATAATTATCGAGTTCTAACACAATAATTAATTATTATATTATTAAACAAAATATAAATCATTTCGTTATTGAACATAAATTAAATTTATAATAAAAAAATATTGAATTAAAAAATTACACAAAAAATATGAATTTTAAATAGTTAATTTGATACTAATATCGATATATTTTTGTCAAATTTTTATAATATCTTCAAATTTATAGTTTATACAAAAATAAAAACATCGTCGTTTTTTTAAAATCACATAAGACCATACTATAACATCGACTGAGATAAAAAAATAAAATGAAATATTAAGATCAAGATGTATCTCGCTGCATTGCGCAAGTACCCTTCTAGTAATAATTTATTTACAAGGATGGGTCCGGGTTTAACGGGAATTATGAGGGAGAATAACGCATTTATGATACATTTTTGCGAAGAAAGAAAAGTTTCAAAAACGAGTTTCGCAAAATTTGTCCAAAAAGCCAAATAAAATACGCCAAAAAGGTACATCTCGCAAAAAAGTGGATTTTGATCATTCTTTCTGCGATAAATGTGTCGCGATAAATGTGTGCATATTTAGAAAAAGTTAGTCATTCTACGAAACCTAGATATCCAACCCGCTACTGCGAGCTTATTAATCCCAGGGCGGCCACCTGTTTTGCAAATAGTCCGGAGTCACCGCATTTAATCCTCCATGGCCACAAGGGGATAAAAAATGACTATTTTTGTGAATAACCCTAATAAGAAATAATCAATAAACAGAAGAACCAAACAGGCAGCATAAATGAAGAATATACCTGCAAACCGAAGCTCGTGTTCTGATCATGTCGATGGTTTTGATGGCGGGAAAGATGGTTCCCTCGAGAACTAAATTCCGAATTGTTTTGAGGAATCGGTCTCTCCTTTAAGGCACATATTAGTTCTTGAAAGATATTAGCTGATGACCTCTTCGATTCGTACCCTACTTGATTCGCCAATTCCTTCAGTTTTTCTTCAAGAATCGCACCCAAAGAATCTCCCGTTAACGGATATGGTTTCTGCAAACAGATCTTTTCATCGATCTGATTCGAAGTAGATTTCTTTCGTGGAGTAGTTTTATACGATGAACCATTCTGGATCCTTCTTCTTTCTAGTTTCGTAGGGATTTCACACCTCTTATTCATTGATGAATTAAACCTAAAAGCCATCCCGTCACAGTTCTTGTTGCCACCACCGCCAGTAGATTCGGTGTTACTAACCGTTCTTGGCCGGTTACTGGAAGAACCGATCATCCCACAACTTTCAGATTGTATTCTGATATGGTTTATCGGCCGTTTCTGCCCATTTTCGAACTTACCCCTTTTATCAAACTTTGTATCCTCCACTTTAGATGGCGTTCTTGAACGTGTTCGACCACTTAAACTACGATTTAGTGCAACAAAATCTTTGGTATCACTAACTGAAACTGTAGCCGATCGCAAACAATTTGATCTAGACTGAGACGAAAATGTACCCCCGTCTCCAGATAAAGAAACATCAGCCGTCCTTCGCGAATTCTCCTTAAAATAAGCTGGAAATGCAAGATTTTGAGGATGTGGTTGACGCCCACGATCAATATTGGTGGAGAACTCTTTTTCCTGATTGAATCTTGAGTTACAGTTCGGTGAAACTTGAGAAGAAAGCTCGATAGAATCAAGGATGGAAGCACGGACTTCCCTCTTTGATGTGGATTCTGAAACATCGACCAAATTACCACAGTTTTTGCAAGACGTTTGTCCGTTTAACAGATCAAGATTTTGACCCTTCATAGACTCGGAACCGAGCTCGTTTCCCAGCGGAATCCGTTCACTATGAGGGTATGTAATCGCGTGTTTAACCCGATTTCTAGACTGTGGTTCGAGAATTCTAGTAGCAGCACCGATTAACCGCGATGAATTCCTTCTAGCATGATGACTAGTGTTCTTTACCGGGGAAGCAAGTTTCGGATGATGATGATGATGATGATGATGTTTTCTAGATCGAGATAGAACGTTTTTCAATTGCAATGCTTCGGCTCCGAATCTAGTTACACTTCTTCTCTCAACCATTCCAGTTTTCTGAAGTTTTTGAGGCCGAAAATCTTGTTTCGACGTTTCTTTTTCAAAATCGTCATCGTTACCCACAACTTTCTCCCTTCTCCCACCTCTAAACTCGCCGGAAAAGTCCTTCTGAAGCTTTTCCCGGTGAACAGATGGCATAGATTCTAACCCCATCAATCTAGCGACCAAACTTGGAGTTTGAACTCCATTCTTTCCTACATTACTATTACCACTAGAACCGCCATTTTTGTTGATATTTGGAAACCCACCACTGTTTTCATCGGCAATCTAGAACAGTATAAAGTAGAAGAACCACAAAAATCAAGAATCTAATAAGAACAATTTGAAGAAATTACTGAAGCAAATTTGACATACCAGTCTTAGTTTTGGAAGCTTTTCATCACCTCCAAACTTCTTTGAAGCTTCTTTTGCACGATCTATCGAATCAAAACACCATTTTTAACACAGATTCATAAGAAAAATAAGCCCCAATTTGATGAATTTATAGAATGCTAACCTGGTGGAAGCAATCTTTTGGAGAAAAGCTTCTTCTTCGCAAACCTTCGATTCCAATCGAAAAGTTGAAAGAAAATACCAACACACCCACCAGTTTTTCGAGGTCTTTTATCTGAAATCGCTAAAGACGACGACCCATTTAAGCTCGCAGTCTCATTCATCATCTTCTTCCCCAAAAAAAACCCACACCAGATTCACAAGTAAAAAACCCCTTTTCCCCCCAAAATCAGACCACAATTTCTTCAGAAACCTCGACCATTTTCCATGGATACATGTCGATTTGAACAGACGTCACCAATAATTGATTCCATTATCTAATCTGTGAAGCAATGCCGTGGATAAAATGATAATTCCAAAAGACAGATGCAAATTTGACACGAAAGAAGAGAGGAATCTTCTGCAAAAATCGTACCCCCAAAAGCACCAATTCGGAAAACAACTTCACAGAAACCGCCGTACGTCTCGTCACCAATCCAAAAAGCTTTTTCCTTTTCTCTCACGAGAAGCAACTACCAATCTGACAGAATCAAGAGAGAGAGAGTGAAGAAAACCCCATCAAAAGCATCGTAATCTTCTGAAGATTATGTATTAAACCCTAGAAAAGAAAAGGAAAGTGGAGGATTAGAGTAGGTGATCATGAATAGTGGTGTTGTCATCTGTGAAAACGGCTCGTTGGCTTTTCACTTTTAACAGAGTGGGTTTTGGAGGGAGTGACGGTGGGTTGGGTGCGTAGGATAAGTGTGGTTGGGTGCGTAGGACAAGGGTGCTTGGATTGGAATGTGACAAAGCTTTACAACCCACCACCCCCCACCGAGAGAAGCGATCAGACACTGACAGACAGCCCAAGTCAAACATAGTAAAGTTAGCTTTTTCTCGTTTTTTTCCGTAAATATTATTTATTTTTTTAAATAATTGTTAAGTATCAAAAGTTAAAATCTTTAAAAAAAACTTAGAGATCGTTTACCAAATACTTACTTGAATAAGTATTTATCAAGTTATATTATTTTACCCGATAAATATGATAAGAATCAATAATCTTACCCGATAAAAGCGCGACAAGAACCAAGAGTCTTACCTAGTAAGTAAGGGCGACGACTCTTACCACGGTAAGCGCTTACCGGGTAAATTGTTGCATACAATGTCGTTTTGAATGACTAAAATCTTATCCGGTAAGTAAATTATAGTGTTATATTTTACCGATAAGTACTTACCGAGTAATTACTGGGTAAACGGCCCATAAGTATTCAATTTTAATAGCTACTCAATTTTAATAATTCTAGCATTAATTATATAAATAAAATATTTAATATATTTAATAAAATATTATTTTTCATCCTACATATTTTACTTCAATAGCTTTAATTTATCATATATACTTACAATATTATATTCTCTCTTTTTATAAAGTTTTAGAGATTTGTATAAATTTAGAAATTTTCATAATCTCTCGTATTTTCTCTATTTTAGCATGGATTATAACATTGTTGTTGATACAACAAAAATGCTAAAATACATTTTTTTTCTTCATTTTAACATAACTATTGAAAATGCTTTAAGAACATTTCCAACAGCTATCGTATAGTTTTTTTTAAATAAATTAGTAAAAGTTAAAACCTTTAAAATTTCTTTTATATCCAACTCCAATATTTATTTTCTATTTTAATAATTATATTATTAAAATATTCGATATATTTAATAAAATATTGGTTTCCCCACTTAAGAATTTAATTTCAATTTCCCCTGTTTATAAGAAGGAATTAAATATTATTTCCTTTTTTCAATATAGAATTTTAGAGATTTCTCTAAATTTGAAGATTTTTATCTTCTCTCTCTTCTATTCTTTATTTAGTATATAAGATAGCATAGTTGTTAGAGCAATAAAAATTGCTAAAATCTTACTTTTTTCTATTGTAGCATAGCTTTTGGAGATTCACTAACAAATTAACAGATAGAAATGCATATAACATTATATAGGAGTGTATTTAGCTTGTCCCTTGATAGATGCTTGTCAATGTAAAAGTATGCATTTAGTCTACCTTTGTTTCAAAACTGTTTGAGATTCTCCTCTTCACTATTATTTATGGGGAATGCTATTTGCACCTTGTTTTATATTAAAATCTGGTCAAATTATGCATTTTGGGAATATAAAAAAGTAAATCTCAATATTGATGTATGTGATAAGAAAATTAGTAAGTAAGAACGCATTTAATAATATATATGAATACAATTAGCATGCCCCTTATTTATTAGAGTTTCATGAAATAAACAATTACATATAAACTGATCTGAACACCTATAATTACTGAATAAAGATTAATATTAATTTAAAAAAGACATATATTTGTGTTCGTTCATGTTGTTTCAAAGTAACTGTTCTTATCTTATCCCACTAATTCATTGAAGACATTTTATTATTTTATTTATCTATACTATTTTATAAATCAGATTTATTAATAGTCTTAAAAATAACTTTTAATGCATAAAGTATTATACATTTATGTACAAAGTCTTAAAAACAATTCATAATGCATTAAGTACTACTACTTTATACATTCAGTCTTAAAATCTCTTATTTTAGAATTAGAATAATATATAGTACAAATTACCATTATACATTATTATTATTTTTTTCATGTTCCCAATATACTTTTGACATCTTTCACTCATGCTTTCACTCTCTCATACCTCTATGTCTTTTCCACATCCCCCAATGTGAGATTCAAACTGATATTCACTATAAGTTATTAAAAGTTTTTTCATTCATCTTTCATTCAATTGTTCTAGAACTCTCGGTCTCACTCTCGATCTCTTGATTCTTTGCTCTTGGTGTAAATCAAACACATTTGTGAAATCGTTTAAATATGTTGGATTTTAAATATATTGGATTTTAAACTGTCATACAATTTTTTTTCATCTGTAGACTGTAATTAGAACCATAACTTTTACTTATTCAAATTATATTAATATGTAAATATCAAGTGTAACTTTATATCATCGTTAAATCTTCTCTAATAAAACCAGTGAAACTTCAAAATCATTAAAATTCACGGCTCTCGCCGCATTACGCGGGTGCACAACTAGTATAATTTTATTTATATTTATCTTTTCTCTGTACAGATATTATATATATATATATATATATATATATATATGACTAATTTTAAAACAATAGAATTTTTCCATATATTATATGTTGTATTTCCAATTTTTAGCATGTTTCGAGAAGGAAGTATATTTTGTAGCGAGTCGATGAGCGTCGGTTTCCGTTGGAGTTCCGTCGTGACCTGAAAAAGTTTTCCGATGAGCGTCGGTTTCCGTTGGAGTTCCGTCGTGACCTGAAAAAGTTTTCCAATGAGCGGTGGAAGGAACGCCCAATCGCAGCCCATTTTAGTGACATTCACCTACGCTACCTTCACATGCGCCAACTCCACGTGGCCAAAAGTGGAAGCGAGACAGGTTATAACCTCAAATTGTCGGCAAGGTAAAAACTTTTTTTGTTTTTATCAATTTTCGTTTATTGTTATATGTGTTTGTCCGTTCACTTCTATTTATATTAAAATCATATATTAAGAATTAAAAAAATATTTTTTAATGTTAATACATGTGATATATATATATATATATATAGAAAACTAATTGATAAATTAATTAGTGGCTATTAAGCTAGTTGTTGACTGATAAGCTAAACGATGGTTGAAAGATTAACGGATGAACAAATAACGAATGATAAAAACTAGCTTATAAACATGTAAAATAATTAAAAATAACATTTTGAAAAACTAATCAGTTACAATATTCCATAGCATAATTAAAACAAATCTCTAAAAATATAGTGGGTTAGTTAATATTAAAAAAATTATAAAAATAAATAAATAATATAATATGTTGATTAAAATAATTTCAAAATGATTATTATATATATTATAAATTTTGGATTATCTTACCCGATAAAAGCGCGACAAGAACCAAGAGTCTTACCTAGTAAGTAAGGGCGACGACTCTTACCACGGTAAGCGCTTACCGGGTAAATTG